TCTGCAGGGCAGACCCCCTCCCCACCCCACCACGCCCCCGCCACGACTTTAAATGGTGATCTTTTCTCTCTGGACACAGGCAGCTTTCTAGAAGTTTCCTTTCCACCGTCAGAGCCATTGGGCACAACTGCAATAACTTCTGACCTTTTGGTGAAAGCTGAGACCTCCTAACTGTAATATATTCTGTACAAAATTTATCTGAGGAAAAATAAATCTGCTCTGGGCTTTCTGGTTTCTGTGGATATTTCCCCCCTTGACTTGGGGGTGGGGGGTGGATTTAGGCAAAGGGACAAGTGGAGGTTTACTTCCACTGGAGCAACTCCTTTCTGGGCTACTTTTTAGCCATGGGACTCTGGGCAAGTGACTTTGTACCTCTGGACATCAGTTTCTTTGGCTGTAAAATGGGGAGAATACGTATAATTTCCTCTTCAGATGGTGATGAGGATTCCAAGGGCCCGGGCAGCCTGGACCATAAAACCACAATGATGATGAAACAAGGTCTTTGAACAAAGGGTCCTGGCAGGTCTAGGCCTCGCCTGTGAGGCCGGTGAGGGGCTGCCCACTGCTGCCACCAACCGTCCCAAGGCAGAGATGGACACCCTCTGAGGCTGGAGCTCTAAGCTGTTTATTTCTTCACACATTTCAAGGGTGCACTTGACCCCCGAGAGTTCGAGAAATAACACACGCAACACCACACTGTATTCCACGAGGCGGTCAGATACCAAAACATCTGCTACCACAACCCATTAAAGAGAACACGGGGTCGCCTTGTCCCTGAAATAACCCATCCTAAAGATGGCCACCTATGTTGTCATCACGTGGGACACAGGGGCGCCCAGGTGGCTCAGTCGGTTGAGTGTCTGCCTTTGGCTCAGGTCATGATCCCAGGGTCCTGGGATCAAATCCGGCATCAGGCTCCCTGCTCAGTGGGGAGCCCACTTCTCCCTCTCCCTCTGCCAACCTCTCCCCCTGGTTGTGCTGTCTCTCTCTCTCTCTGACAAATTTAAAAAAAAAATTTTTTTCACACAGAACACAGAGCCCCATCAAAAGAGCCGGAGGACGTTTCCTGGCTTTTCCAGAAGCAGCAATCTTATGTACAGTCTGTCTAAGCACAGAAACAGCGTATGTCTGTACACAATCAAGCACAAGGCAGCTTGGGGTTCCGGTCAATGTCGCTTGTGGCTTGTGGGAACAGGATCGGAGCATTAGTGCTGGTCACAGAGCACAGGTGTCCCTACAGCTGGAACCGCCAGATTTGGGGTGAAGTCGCTATGGGAGAAGAGTTTTGAGAGAAAACAGATGACCCCACAGACAGCCCTGGAGGAGGAGGTCAGCCAGGCTGTGGGGAAGGGACAGCCCCTCCAAGCCACCAGTCATGATCAGTCTGGAAGTAAAGGAGAAACGCAACCATTTCTGGAAAAGGCTCCAGGTGGGCTGGGCAGGGCCGGTGTTCAGAACCAGAAGTAGGAGTGCCCAGGTCCGACCACCCTAATGGTCCTGCGGAACGGTCTGTGTTGGAGGCTGGGGGTGTCGCTCCGGGATCACACTGGCCACGCTGCGCAGCGACGAGGGGCAGAAGCACAGGCCCTTCCTCGTGGAAGGCAGGACCTGTGAGAGCATCACGGGTCTGGAGTCTCAGCCACATCACGTCAGGCTGGGGCTCGGGCAGGGCGGAGCAGGGCAGGGAAGGGCAGGGCCAGGCCGGGCAGGGCGGAGCAGGGCAGGGAAGGGCAGGGCCGGGCCAGGCTGGCTGAGGGAGGGAGCCGCCCTGAAACTTCGTCACGGATCAGCGCCCGTGGCCTTCAGGACAGCCAGCGCGCAGCTCCAGGTCTCTGCAGCTCCGGGCCAGGCCCATGGAGGGTGAGGGGCTGTCGGGGACCCCGCCGGGCGAATGATCACTTTCTAGAGCACAGAGGAAAAGCCGATGCAGACCCCAGGGACGCATGTGAAGCCATTCGTCTGCCGCATGGCCGATGGCCAGTGTGAGTGCCCGAGCCAACAAGCTTCCAGAAGAGGATGAGGACATGGTCTCCTTTGTTCTCAGAGTGGCCACATGGCAGGCAACTGCTGGGTATCCTCGATGGCTGGAAAGCTCGTTTCTGGCTGTGGGCCTTCCACCTTCCACGAGGCCCACGGGCAGGATTCTGGGTAGGGAAGAACTCCTTTTCACAGCTGTTCTCTCCAGCATTGACTGAGGCCCACTGAGAGGCTGCACCGTGGGACTCCCCAGGGCTCCAGCTGTGTCCACCTCCATGTTACGAAGAGCGGTTCCGGCCCGGCACACCCACCAGGCCCCTCCGCGAATGGAAGGACGCCACACCGGAGACTCCACGGGGCCCTTGGGAAGAGGTTAGATACCAAGAGCCGGCCCTCGGTTGGGGCCTGATGTCTGTGGAGTCACATCATTTTAGAATCAAAGCACCTGTAAGCAGAACTTAACCCCAGACCTCGGCTCCAGGTTGCCCAGGGCAGAGATCTTGCACGTGACCCTCTGGACCTACCCAGGGCCTCAGCCAAAATTCGGCCCTGGCAGTTGCTCCTGGAGCCCCTGACATCAGGAGTGCCTCCAGCAGCCCCGGCCACTGACACCCCCACCACGCCCGCCCCCCCGGCACCACCCAGATGCTTGGCAATGAGAGTTGTAACTGCCCTTGGGGTTCTGGCGGGGCGGGCTCCAAGTGATACGCACGCACACCACAGCAGACCACTCCCAGCGGCCCTGACCCGGGGGCAGCACCAGCAAGCCTCTGGGGAAGAGGCTGCCAAGGCCAGGTGCATGTCAGTGGCTCCTTCCCTGATGCAGAAACCGCCAGGCCTGAGGGGCAATGAACTCTATGGAAGCGCGTCCCAGGACCCAAAACCATCAGTGCACCCACCTGACACTCCTCCCCACCGACGGCCCCTCCCCTCGTCTCTGATCCTGAAACCCTTGATCAGAGACGGTGTTTGCTGGATGGTGCTCACCGGCCCAGGCGGGAGCGGCCCACCTGCTCTCATAGGGGGCCTTCCCTCTGCCGCCACCTGCTGCTCCCAGGTCTTTATGAAGGGGAACCCCACCCCTCAGTTTCCGCCCCCAGAAGCAGCGGCCACTCTGCTTGCCGCGGGCATCGAGGCCAGTGGGTAACGGTTACTGGATCTGTGGGCCCTGGACCTGAGAGTGTGTGACCCTGGGGTGGGGGCAGGGGTACACCTAAGTTACACAGGAACACGACCTGGCCAGGGGCCCCAACCTGGCATCAGGGGTCACACTGCACCACCCCCCACCTGTTCTTGAGGCAGACAGGGACTGGAATTTCAAGAACAGACCAGGAGAACGGCATAAACTTTCAGCAACATCTGTAAACACATGTGAAATGCAGTTTGATTTCAGTAGTTTATTTTGGAGACAAAGCAGTGCAAGAGGCCAGTCGCGCTTTCCTGCTTCCCCGGGGCTCAGGGTTGGGCTAGGAAAGGCGCCATACAGACATTATAATCGGGGTTCAACACTCAAGTCGTGTAAACGCAGTTAGTTGGTGGGCCCTCGGGTTCCAAGCCAGCCGGGCGCTCTGATGGCACCAGCTCTCCCCCTAGGCCCAGCCCCGGCTCGGTGGCGGCCACCACCCAGCCCTTCCTTTCCTGAAGGTGGGTGACCCCCACACCCCTGCTGAGCCAGGCCTGAAGGTACCTCCAAATGCCCAGGCCAACAGCCTCTCTGGGACCATCCTCACCAGACCATGCAGGACAGCCCAGAGGCTTTCCGACTTGCTCAAAGTGAAGGGATATCTGAAGACACGAGATCATGCTCAGAGGGTCCTATGCATCTCACCCAGGTTCACCCTGATCCAGGCTGACAAAGCCCCTGGCCAGCCCCTTTCTCTGTGGAGGGGTGGGTGGCCTGCCCGCTGCACCTTGGGAACCAAGCGGCCCACGGGATCTGCTGCCATCGGGGGCCGGGCTGAGGCTCATGGAGGAGGGGGTACCGGTTTCCTACCCTCTGGGGCTGCAGCTCCCTTCACACTTGGCTGGCTTAGTGCTTAGGGCTTACAGTGAGTACGGGAAGGGTGGGCAGGCCCGCTGGGCGGGTGTGGAAAGACGTGACGCATAGAGGCAGCTCCCCCCGAACACCTTTAGGCCAAGGGGAGGTGCATCAGGCTGACTTCTCAGAGAAGCAGGCTGCCCCGTCGGGGGCTGGGGCCTCATGCCTGCCCTTCCGAGTTCTCTGGGCTCAAACGCTCAACAGACATAAGGACACAGAGGCCCAGCAACTCCTGGGGCGATCTGTCCAAAGTTGCGGCCCAAATCCTTGGCACAGGCAGGATCAGCCCGGGGGCTCCCAACCAGGCAGTCTTGTCCTGGGTCCTGGGGAGCAGTGCCTGGTCGGGGCAGGAGGCCCCCTTGCAGGGCTGCACGGGACCCTGCATGGAAGCTGGACGTGGAGAGAAGCCAACTCAAGGCCTTGGCCTCGCCCGGGAAACTTCCTTCTCCTTCCCTTTTGGGAGCAGGCAACAGGCGGACCACAGCCCAGACCCCCTGCACAGAATCCCCCAAGGAAACAGCAGGTGTGCCTCTCACTTGCTCTTGGGAGGGACAGCCGCACACCTGGCTGGGGCTCTAGGCCCTGTTCCTCACAAGGCTGCGGAGGCGGCCAGTCGGAGGGGGACAACTAGAGGGCCTGGCCTGGGTGCAGGGGGCTTGGAGAAAAGAGAGAGAGAAGGAACCCCTCACTCGCTCTGCTCAGCCACTAAAAGCCTGCTCCCCTCTGGGATCCCCGAGGCCTGATCCACAGCAGCCATCGAGACGAACAGACGTGGATGGACACACACACGCTCACATGCACACGCGCGCGCACACACACACACCCCACCTTACACTCAGACCTAGTGTTGAAGACACAGCAAGTGTAAACCCAGTGAAGACATCTGCACAGCAGGCATCCGGCGGGACGTCCATCTCCCCCGAGGCTGGACCACTTGGGGTTCTTTGCCATCTCCCCCCTCCACCACCCCTTATCGGGTTAAAAATTAAAAAAAAAAAAGAAGAAGAAAAAGAAGAGGAAGAAGAATCAGATCGCTGGGAATTCTCGGTCGGAGCGCCACCGCCGGGAGCCGCCGGCCCAGCAGGTACACTCTGCGGCCTGCGCCGCCCTCTGGGTCCCGGGCTCCACGGCTACTGGGAGGAGGCCTTGGTGGCCAGCGAGGCCACGCAGTGCTGCTGGAAGCTGGGGGACACGGCGGTGCGGCCGAGTCTCTGGTGCGGGAGCTTGGCGGTGCCTCCCGGGCCCACGCCGCCCGCGTCGGCCTCTGCCGTCCAGGGGGGGTCCGGGCCCATCAGGTTGCTGCAGCTGCACGTCCGCTCGCCTGCCAGGCCGCCCGCCTGCTCCGCTAGGAGCCTGCTGTGTCTCAGCGGGGCCGCGTCCCCCGCCGCCGCCGTGGCTGCGCTCTGGCCCTGCAGGACGGTGGCCACGTGGTTCAGGAGGTCTGTGAAGAACTCGCTGACGCCCTCGTAGCCTGCGGGTGGGAAGGACAACAGGCGCTGAGCCAGGCTGCGGCGGAAACAGGTCGGGGGCGCAGGGCAGAGCGGGCACGGGGCGCACAGGGCTCCCAGAACTCAAGGTGGGCGCGCTCGGGATGTACAGGAAACCGAGGCTCAGTAACTAAGGGGACACATTAGAGCCACCAAGCCTAGACTCGAAGTTGGGTGTGGGCGGCCCCCAAGGGCTAGTCCTTGAATTCAGCTGTCCCCAGAGCGTGAGAAGTTGTCATGCTCGAGTGGACGGGCAGACGCCCTGCGCCCGGCCCCTCTCAGGCACGGTGTCGGGGTCTCGCGGACTCACCCACCCAGTGTGCTAAGACACACGTGGGGCAAGAGGAATGGCGGGACGCGGCAGGACCAAAGGCCCGCTGCTCACACTCCATCACCAACAGCCCTCTGCTCCACACGGCCCAGCCTCAGAGGGCACCAGGACCCTCGCCCGTCCTCTAGGATGGCCCTCGCAGCCGCCAGCACAGCCCGGACACTCTCCTGTCACAGGAGAGCCCGCCCGGGGCCAGGCAGCAGGGGTGGCCTCCACTGTCCACAATCTAACTTGCCCAGAAAATAACATGGTGGTTTTGAGGGACCCGAGGCGGACGGGAGGAAGCGGAGGTGCCCACCACAAAAATAAGCAGAACAGCTGAGACGCGGCACACTCATTCTTCACAACGCTGACAGCCTCTCTGCCCACACTGGCTCAGAGTGACTCTCTCCTCTGTGCACGCGGGATGCCCTCATGTCACCCAGCCCAAACCGCATAGGCTGGGAGGGGCCGGCTCGGGACCTTGCACAGAGCCAAAGTGCAAACAGAGAGCTCCACGCTCTCACCACCTCCCAACTCCACCCTTCTAGAACTTCCACCCTGACAGCCCTGCATCGCCCCCCTCCCCTGTCCCACCAATCCCTGGCCACCTCTTGTCCTCACTGTCCTCACGCCCATGTCCTCCCTGCTTTAGAGCCCCTCATTTATTTTCATTGTTCCCCAGACATGTCCTGGATTCCCTTGGTCTCTCTCATTCCGTCCCTTACTCATCAAAACCCCACCTCTACTAATACCCAGGTCTCCGTGCAGGGTGCACCCAGGGTGACTGGAGAAACACAGGCCATTGTCCCAACACGGGCCTCGGTGACTCACTCCCACCTACCTCAGAGTGAAACCCCACGCTCTCAACACACCACAGGGCAGGGCTCTTCTCTGGCCTCCGTGTCCCAGGCCCTCCCGGGGCCCTCAGGGGCTAGCTCCTTCCCTTCCTGCCAGGCTCTGCTCCACCACATCAAGAAGGAGCCCCCCGGGTGCCCCTGTCCTCTGACGTCAGGGCTCCAGCAGCCTCGGTCACACTGCACCTGTGTCCAGACCAGCTGGGACACACAGTAGGCCCTCGACTGAATGATGGAAAGAGCCAGTGGTGTCCTGCCAGCCTTGGTCTCCTGGGCAGTGACTTGCGATGGTGGCTGGGCCTGACTACATGCTGAGTCAGGGGACACACGTCAGGCACGCAACCCAGGAGCCGCTCAGCCTGGGTCACATGCCACACCCCATGCGAGAGGCCTTATTACCCTGCATACCCCCACCCCGAGCACTCCCCACAGGCCACGCTTGGGCTCTCCCCCGAGACACTAACCTCCCTGAAGGTAAAGAATCATTCCTGAAAGTTTTTATACACATTGGGCGATGACACTGACTTAACCTCCACATGGCTACTTAACGAAGGGGGACAGTCCGAGCTAGCTGGGAGGGCAGACGGGCCAGCCACGGGGTGCGCCCGTGCCAAGGAGGGTTCATTCCGGGAACACCAACTAGGGACATCACGGCCATCACCCCTGCAGGCTAATGGTTCGCTGGGTGCTCTCCCACTGAGCCCCCTTGCTGCGTCGAGACGAGGAGGCACGACAGAGCCAGGCCATGACAGCAGCCCACAGGGGCCTGAGACAGGCTTCCCGCTCAGGGCTCTGGCAGACAGCAGGGAGCAGGCGCTGAAGCCACAGGGAGCTGGCCGGCTCCGCATCCCCAGAACCACGGCTCAGGGCCCGGGCAGGAGCACGGCCACACCACCACCGTGTCCTGTGACCTGGGATCAGTCCTCCCTCCCTAGAGACTCGGTTCCCCGCAGGTAAACCATGGAGAGTGTACTCCCTCCCGGATCCTTTCAGCTCATTCAATCTATAAGTACTCAATAGATTAGCTGCAGTTTGGCCAACAAAGGCTAATGCTGACAGTACAGCGTCAGGGGAGGAAGGCGAATGGTGTTTGGTGCTGTGCCCACTAAGTGCCCTGACCTCCCCCGGCTAGAGGCACCGACCTCGTCTGCCAACTTCATCACATGCTACAAACCCATTCTGCACGTGGGCTGAGGCCTAGTGGGACCGTGTTGACCCCAGGCCCCACTGACGGGGAGGGAGGGAGCTGGTCAACCTGACCCGCCTGTGCCAGCGTCTGAGGACACGGGTCTACAGACTGACGAAGGCAGTTCCTGGCTCTGCTGCTCACCTGGGAAGGCATTGATGTCGATGACTGCATGCTGCCCAGTCTGGTTGTTGATGATGATGTCAATCCCGAAGAGTGACACACCCAGTGCCTGCCGAAGGGCCCGGGACAGCTCCCGGATGACTTCGTCGCTCGGCCTCTCGAACACGCCCTCGATCTTGTCCAGCTGTGCGCACACGCACGCGCAAACACACACATACACATACACACACACACACACACACACACGGAAGTCAAGTCAGGCCACAGGTGGGGTGGTGCAACACCTCTACCACACACAGAGACCCCACTCGGGTGCCCCAAATCCTGGCCTTCCCCTCTGGAAGGGGGCAGGACAGACCCCTGGTGAGCAGCACGCCCACAGCCACTCCCCAAGTCCCACAGACGACTGGGCAGGTAGTAAGGGTCTAGGATGCGCCGTCCCTAGTTCCTGTAACAACCCAGACGGACGGCCCCACAAGGCAGGTCTGCTCCAGTTCCAGCCGGCCGGGGACAGACATATGGATTTTCATGGGCTCCAGCTTGGCCCCTGGAAGGGCCACCAAGGAAGGGGAACCTTGGAAAGGATTTGGGATCAGGAGGACAGGGATCTGAATCCCGACAGTGACTTTCTAGCCCTGGGGGCCTAGGGAAAAGTACTCGGCCTCATTGTGCCTCAGTTTGCTCATGTGCAAATGGGACCAACAAGGCCTCTCTCTTCTGCTGGTCGCTGATGTGGTGGAACAGTATGGGCCTGGCCATGAGGAGATGCACACCTGCATTTTGGGGCAGGGAGGGCCCTGTGACGCTTCTAAGTCCATCAGGGGAAGGTTACAGGAGATACCCTATAAATACTGGAGTCCTGAGTCCTGGTGGCTGTGGGGCTCAGGGGCCGGAGGGGAAGAAGGGTGGTAGACCCGTCAGATGGAAAGTGAAGCTGGGTCAGAAACTGACACAGAATTACCAGGTGACCAGCAATTCCTATCCTGGGTATATACCCAACAACCTGAGAATGGGCACTCGTCTGTCAGCATTCACAGCGCTGTTCACGACAGCCAAAGGTGGAAATGATCCAAGTGTCCATCAGCGCACAGACAGACACACAAACCGGTTTCCACGCGACGGAGCATTATTTGGCTACACAATGGCACAGCATGGGCAAACCCTCGAAATGCCAATCCAAGAGGAAAAAGCCAAACACCATCGGTCACACATTGTATGACCCTGTCATGAAAGGTCCGGAATAGGAAAGTTCATTGAGATGAAAAGCAGATTCGTGGCTGCCAGGGGTTGGGAGGAAGAGGGAAGGCGGGGTGACAGCTGAATGGATACAGAGTTTTATTCAGAGGTGGTGAAAATGTTTTAGAACATGGTAGAAGGAGAGGATTGTACAACATGGTGAACGACTAAATGTCCTTGAACTGTTCACTTGAAAATGGCTACATTGTGGGGCGCCTGGGTGGCTCAGTGGGTTAAAGCCTCTGTCTTCAGCTCGGGTCATAATCCCAGGGATCCTGGGATCGAGCCCCGCATCAGGCTCTCTGCTTAGCAGGGAGCCTGCTTCCTCCACTCTCTCTGCCTGCCTCTCTGCCTACTTGTGATCTCTGTCAAATAAATAAATAAATATCTTTTTAAAAAAAGAAAATGGCTACATTGTATGTTATGTGAATTTCACTCCATTAAAAAAAAATAATAATAAGCTGAGTCAGGAGGGCTAAGGACAGAGCCCTGGGCACAGATGGTCCTTCCCCCAGCACAGGTAGCTAGAATGGCTGATAGGGAACTTCCAGACACACACAGAGCAAGGAGCCTCCACCAGGGCACCATCAGTGGTCCCCCGTGAAAGCCACAGCCACCAGCTCTGCACAATCTGCAGGGCCCCCAGGCCCATGACCCTGCTGCCTCGGTGTCCTAGCAGAGGAAACACCTTCTAAGGGGCAGTGCCAGCCTGGCTGTGACAAGCCCTTGTCACTGAGCCCCTGCCCAAGCCAGGACCCACCTCGAGGTCACTCCTGCCAGCCAGAGGCTCAGCCCAGCGCGGCAGCTCGGCCACCGGATCAGTGGCCAGGGGTCCTCCCCAAGTCAGAGAGAGCCCGACAGACGCCTCGGCACAGCCCATATCCCCCTGCAGGCTCTGAGCCGTCCCGTCCCCTTCGGAGTCTGGTTTTCTCGCTCCAAGAAATGGGGTAATAGAATCACAGGCACTGGGGATGTGGGAGCTAAGAGCCGGCACCCAGGCGCACCAGCGAGGGGCTCTGCGGCTCTCCACCACGTCTCCTAACACGCTGCTCAGAAAAGCACTTTCTCAGCTCAGCTAAGGCATCTCAGAAATCCTTCCGAGGCTGTTTGATGATCTTAAACTCAACAGCCATCCTAGGACAAGACAAAGGCACAGAGATCTGGGTTGTCATCGCAAAGGCGACGATGACCCTCTGGGAAATGGGGAGGCAACGGAGGTCACCCTCCTCTGCGTCCACTAACTCCCCGCATCCCCCGACCACCCTGCAGGGCAGGAGGGGAAACAGGCTCAGTGAGGCAATGGGACTCCCGGGCCACACGTCTGAAACCCGGTGGAGTCCGTCTCACCAGGGTCTGCGCTCTTGACTCATCCCCTAGACGCTGGTGTGTGGGGGCCCGAGAGTTAGGTGTGGGTGGGGTTCACCTTCAGCAGCCTCCAGAGGGGGAGGGAGGCTTCAAGGCTAGGCCATGGCTCCCTGCACGGCCCCCTGCACGAGGCCCTGATGGGGACTAGAGGTACTCCGGGTGGGAGGGAGGAAGGCAGGAGGGGCTCACATCTACCACAGAAAGGGTTCGGCTAAGTGTGTGCTCTTGTCTTGTTTCATGTGATGTCAGTCCTGGGGGCCTCCTGCGTGGCAGTCAGGAGCTAAGGGGAAGGAGGAGATGGGGGCACATCCTATAGGTAGAGAGGAGGCCCCGAAGTCTCTCTAAGCTTTCCCATTTCACAGATGAAGAAACGGGCCGAGCAGCAGGCAGGTAATTATCTAAGAACGTTACCTGAGACCCTTGGGCATCAGTGAGCAGCCCCCGGGGCCGCCAGAGCCACATGGGACTGGTAGGGATAGCATCCCGGGAAGTCTGTGGAATGCCATTTCCCTCCCCAACTGCGAGTCACTGGCCACTCAAGGACTGAGAGCCTCTTAGGGAAGAAGCCCTGCGGACTGGGTCAGTCTAGAGTCTCTGAAGGTTAGATGACCAGCAAAGCTTTTCTTGTACAAAACAGCTTCTTACGTCTTACAGTGCACACAGCCAGGCACCGAGAGCTTCTGTTTAAAATCTGACTCTTCTCCAAGCTTCCTGGACCATGGCACTTGTTCCTGGGCAACATCTATCAATATCTTGAGGGACACTGGTGCTCCCTCCAGGTCCCTGTCCACGCCTGTGCTCTGTCAAACCCTCAGCACACGGCTGGCTCCTCAGAGGAACCAGACACAAACAAGAAATGAACAGGCGGCCTGGGCTGGGGAGGGGATGGGGGGGGGAGGCAAGATGAAACGGGCACGTGCATGCCCCCAACACAGGAAGGAGGGGAGTAAGGCCCAGGGGCAGGGGTCGACTGTGGATGCTGTTGGTGAGAACAGCCTAGGACAGGGAGGAAGACCCAGGCAAATCCTCCCAGATTAGCCAGCACGGCCATGACTCAGGAGACCCAGCCCAGGGCTCTAAGGTCAGGGGCAAGGGGCAGCAGAGACTGCCAGCCCGCTGGACTTGAGAGGGATGGAAGCAGCTGCCCCAGGACAAATTTCTAACTCTGGCTGAATACTGTGCTGCAGGTACCAGCGAGGGAATAAGTCCTAAATTCCCAAGACACCCAGCTTCGGAACAGACTGCTCTGGGATCGTGAGCCAGTGTGGCCCCTGAGTGAACAGCCCTGAGAGTTTGGAGAAGTCACTCAAGCCTCCTGATCACGAGCCTCCCCACTCCAGAAAATGGAGCTGTCTGCCCGGCTCCCGCGAGGCTGTGGCGAGGCCCGGCTGTGACGCCATGGGGCACCTCGGACAGTGCCTGACCCGCCGCCATGTTCACGGAACTCGCCCCGAGTTCTGCCATGGGGGAACGGCCACCCCCGCCCCCACCGAGGTACTAGCAGGCCCTTAACAAACGCTTACTGGATTCACGTGGACAAGGAAAGAGAAAGGAAAACGGGGTGTGATGTTGCCTCCTACCCCCTTTTATAAATCAGGAAAAAGGCAGATTAGAAAACAGGTCTTCAAATTCCCCATGACTTGGGAGATGGGCGGGGAGATCCTCACTCTGGGAGAAAAGTTAGAAAATCTTTCCTCGGGAGTAGCCCAGAAGTCCGCGGGTGTGGCTGTGATGGCCTGTAGCAAGCCAAGAAAGGGGGTCTCTGGTCCCCCACCCTGCTCTGCTGGAGCTCGGCCCTCAGCCCCACTGCCAGCGGCACCCCCCACCCCACGTTAGGAGGGAAGGCCGCCACAGCGGAAGGAACATACCGCGGTCAGGACGGACGAGGACTCCGGCTTGGACACGTTGTGACTGTTGAAGAAGATGGACTCCCGGTCTGAAAAAGCAAAGACAAGAAGGAGCAGGCGTTAGCTCAAGGCGGGGATGGTGACTCCAGCACCTGACACCAGGGGGCAGCACCACCCAAGCCACAGTCTTGGTGGCCTTAGCAGCAGCCAACCTGGGGCCCCCGCGAGCCAGGCACCCCCACACCAAGGAGACAGGGCATCATGACCGGAAACACGTCCACTCACGGCTCCCGTTTCCCATATAAAATTGTCTTAGCGAGCCTACCTCTGCTACCATCTTACTGTATCCTGTCTGCGTTTCCCAACACCTATGGCCCCACCCATTCCAGAGTGCTTCTGGTGTGTCTTATGGACATGGCACTAGAAAGGGGGCTTAGGGGATGGTGCGGGGGCTGAGCACATGGGAAACACAGTGTACCGGAAGCATCAAAGGCCTGAAGTCAAGAGGTCCAGTAAATGCCATTTAATCCAGTAGTCCCAGCCCCTCCCGGTGTCTGCCCATGGAACTCCTTTTCAGGGCAGCACTTGAGAAATACACCCACGCAGCCGCTTGGCACGTGCATGTTTAGAACACAAAGGTTCTCCTGCTTCCTGACTACACACGGGGCAACGGGAAATCAGAACATGAGCTTCTGTAGGGTCCGTTCAAGGAAAGTACACAGAACGATCTGTTTGGCTTTGGAAGCTTTGGAAGCTGGCACAGCCCCCCGAAATACCCTCCTCCTCCTCCCACACCATACTTCCTGGTCCACCTCTGCCTCCCAGCACACCCTCAGTCCCACTGGGGCACCCAGGCGGGCACACCGATCCCAAGAGTGATGAGTGCAAGAAGTAGTTGGTGAGTCTATCTGTCCCGTGGGGTGAGGCTGGCCGGTCGCACGTTCTGGAGCACTTGGAAGCATGGGCACAGGAATGCAAGAATCACAAAACCGCGAGCTTCACCACCCCATGCCCCCCCACCAAGAATGACATGGGGATGTCCTGGGCCATGAGCCCCTACGGGGCACCAGTGGCTTCTGCTTCAGTCCCTCCAGGATGGGGCATGGTGACTCCCGTCCCCAGGACACACTGATCACCCCCGGGACCCAAGGCCCTAAGCGCAGGACAGGAAGGGCCTTGGTTGAGCACCATGGGGTGGGGGGACCAGGCTGCAGGGGGCACCTGCTCTGATCGCCAAGGACCCCCCGCCCCGGCTCCAGGATTACGACGCTGCAACAATCATGCATGAGAAAGTGATTCGGGCGGAGGCCAAGCAGGCAGGTGCTGAGATGTACCTGGCGTCCTTCCCGCTAGTGAGGCACACAGGCCCCTTGCCGCCCCGGTGTACCCGACAGTCCTCCCGCCGCTCCGACCAGAGCCATTCCAGACGGGGGGCACGAGAGACGGTCCTGGGGAAGAGCCTGGGGAAAATAAACACCCTGCAGGACTTGCGCCAGGCAACCCCACCGATCTCTACTTCTGGGCGCTGACAGCCAAGAAGAGTGAGCCCTGAGCGGTGGCGAGGCCTGTGGGCCAGGGGACAGAGTGGGGCTTGGGCAGCTGGAATGGGGGTCTGGGCCTTCTGCAGGCACTGCTCACCTATTTACCCTGCAGCCCAGCCAGGCCCAACCCTACCAAACTCAGGGTGCCTCCCACCCACCCCAAGGGTCCCAGTGGTGGCAGACCAAGCCTGGGTGTGGGGGGCGCGGGAAAGGGTCACACAGAGCAGGCAGACATAGCCAAGCTCAGGGAGGCCAGGAAGCCTACAGGAGCGACAAGGGATCGCCACGAGTGTTTATGCCGGGAAGGCAAGAAGCTGGGCGCGCAGAAGGGCAGAGCCAGCAGCTGCTGAACTGGACCGGCCGTGCCACCCAACGGCTCCTTGTGGCAGCAGACAGACCACACATGTAGATCATTTCACAGGAGACTGCTTCCCCCTTAGCCACCTCTGACCTGAGGGCTCAGGCCAGAGAACTGTTCAGGACTGGTGTGGGGGGCATCCTCTGCTCACATCCTACCCGTGCCCGGCCCAAGCAGGGGCCACAGGGCGTGTGGGCAGCCTCCAGCCACTCCCTGACGCAGGAGACCAGGGGGCTGAGACGGGTCAGAACGGGTCACACGTCCTTTGACTTGGGGAGCTTTAAGAGACCCAGGTCCTTCTAAGGATGAAGCTGGCTAAGCCCTGGCATGCCGGTCGCAGGGGCACTCTGGATCTGGGGCCCCGGGCATTGCCTGTGTCCACAGCAGTCCTGAGACACACGGGGGTGGGGAGACAGTGAGGGGAAAAGGAGTGCCGTGGCCCCCAATTTACAGATGAGAAAAACAGGTTCAAAAGAAGAGATTTTAAATGGCCAGCTCACTCCCCCAGTGCTCCAGTAACCCGGCCGTCGGGGGCAGCGGCCACCGCTCTTCCACTCTGCCTCATCTTCACGCGTGTCTCTGGGCTGGGGGAACGGGTCACAGCGCTGCGGGGGGGGACTGGGAGGGGCAGATGTTCTTCAGGATCCCATACATGTTTCCGGCTGCACAGAGGGACTGGCCCTGGCTGCCCTGTCCCAGGGGCTCCCCAACCCAGTGGTGGCCCAGGACCCCACTGCTTCCTCTGGAGCTTTGCATCTGTGCCATGATGACTCTTTTCATTCTTTCTTTCCACGTGCGTGTTCTCTCCCGCCAGAATACGAGCACATCGGGGCAGCATGCTTGGCTGACTGTCTCGGGCCCTCCTGGATCAGTACCTGGCACGGGGCTGGGCACATGGCAGATTCAAGGCCATATGGCATCTATGGAGAGGCTCGAGCTGACAGGTCAGCGAACCAGAGCCTGGCGGCCTGCCTCTGTCAGTACAGTTTGTGGGGCCGCAGCCATGCCCAGAGGCTTCTGTCTTGTCTGCAGCCATGTTCCTGCTCCAAGGGCAGCAGGACATAATTACAACAGAGCTGGACGAACTTACGACCTGGCGCTTTGCAGAAGAAGTCTGCTGAGCCCAGCTCTACGTGCTAAGCGATGCCATTCTTTTATGGACCCCGTGGGGGAAAAGGCCCAGGAAGGACAGCAGAATAAAGGCGCCAGTCGGCACAGTCACGAAACAGGAGTAAACCTACCACGCAAAAGGGGGAGCAGAGAAACGTGCCCATCTGGATCTGGGCCCTAGGGGGAGGGGGGGAGCAACTGCCCCAACTGTGAACCACAGGCAGAGAATGCGCCTGGGGCAGGCCAACACCAACCGTCTCAGCAAGAAGAGGACTGCCGTCTCAGCCGAGGCAAGTGGCAAGATGCCGCTGGCCCGAAGACACACCTGACTCCAGAGAGGTCATCCGGTAAAAACCAAGATCTGACACTCAACAGAGCACGGTCGTTATGGAGGGAAGGCTAGTGTCCCTGGCTCCCCCGGGGGTCCTGAAGAATCCCACTCAAGGCACCCCCAGCTCCGTGCATGGACCGAGGAAGCTGCAGGCCTGACATACTGGACGAGAACCAGAGAGCCTGGATGGGGGCTGGAAGGAGGCCGGAGCCCCAGAGCGTCCCCCCCTCCGCCCCGGCTCCACTGGTCCAGCCTGAAGGGCCCCTGCCGAGTTATGCTTCTGATCCGGGAAGAAAACCCGCCTCTAGAGGACAAAGCCCGCACCAGCTCCCTGGCACGAAGCCGCGAAGGCTGCAGACACGAGACCAGCTCTGGGGATGGACGGACGGACGCTGAAAGCTACTCAGCTTGTCTGAGCACAATAATCACCTTGGCATCAGCTCTGTGTGTTTATCGACTCATTGACTTGGCCCCAGCCGGCACTTTATGGAAAACTGGCAAGCTGGGAATGGTCAGGAGGAGACACACAGACTTGGAGCCCAACCCCTGCTGCTAAGGGCTCCTGGTGCTGAGACAGAAGCTCGCCCAGTACTTTGCAACCAGGAGGAAAGGAAGGAACAAAAGGGATACTTTTTGTCTGCACGGCAAGGAAACCTGGTAATAAATTTCTTTTACAGGCACAGGGATTTTGGTAAGGAAAAAAAAATGAAAAGAGAAAGAAAGAAAGAAAAAAGAAAGGAAGCTACATAAGGTATACCACTCTAAGTTTAATATATTTTCCACAGACTCCAAACACACATTTTTTTTAAAAATCAGGAAAATAATAGAGGATTTTTAAAAACTAGTTTCTTGGGGAGCCTGGGTGGCTCAGTTGTTTAAGCATCCGACTCTTGATCTCAAGGTCTTGATCACAAGGTTATGAGTTCAAGCCCCAAGTTGGGCTCCAAGCTGGGCATAGAGCCTACTTAAAAAAAAAAGAAGTCTCTTCCAGCCCATAATTTATAAGAATGCCTCTTCCTGGTATATAATCACACGCAAAAAGACCTCCCCAGACCATGGTCCTCTCACCCCCAGGTCGTTCTATCATCCCAGTGTGTAGGGACTGGGACCAGGGTGACAATGGGATGTCCCAAACCCGGACAATGCAGCCTTGAGTCCTGGAGCCCCACACCGGATGGGGAAGCTGCCTGCACTCAGAAGGAAGTGAAAAATCACACATTTACCAAGTATCTGCTCTCTGTGTTGTGCTAATGGGAAGAAAGAGACTGTCTGGGGAAGAACAGCTGAGAAGGGAAGACGAGCACAGCTGAACTTCATTCAAGAGGAGTGGCTTAAAGCCACCAGGAGCGGATGGTGACAGGCAGTCCCAGCAGGAGAGACTTTAAGAAGACACAGCTGTTGGCTCAGACGAAGACGGAACAGCCTGGTGTTTCAGCGCACCTGGCAATGGCGGGTCTCCCTCGCAAAGACAGATGCACGGCGTGCTGGAATAAGCCACATGAGGACAGTCGAACGTCCTCCAAGCGGTCCTCTTAGAAGGCTCTGCTTATTTCCAAGACGCTGTCCCTCTGTTCCAAAGCTTTCTAGAACTTGCCTTAGAGATGCCTCAGGGCCCCCAGAACATTCTTTTGAGTAGCCCCAGCACCAGCAAATCCCTATCTTAGTGTCTGTTTTTGAAAGGGCCAAAGGTCACCTGGTGTCAGGAGAACAGATTAAAAAAAGGTCCAGCTCATGGAGCCCTCGGCCTGCAATGATGGCAGCACCCCGCGGATACCGCTGCCCTGTGACACCTGAGGCACACCCAGGACCCGGAACCCTCAGACTCGATCCTTACCCCTGCAAGGCAGGGCCCGGTGGAGGTGACTGTGCCCACCCTAACTCACGGGAGGTCCCAAAGTGAGGAGTGCCGCAGGACTCCTTAGGGTGCGCACAGTCACCTCAGCGGCCGCAGAAGCAGCTAGGAACTCGGTGTTTCCCCACTTGGAGAAAGGGGACCTGATAAAGGAGTCAGCACTCTGGCCCTCAAAATACGATGGGGCCCTTTCCCAAGCCCTCACTTCCATGAAGGGCACATCATCCATTTCAACATGTTCCTCGTGACTCTCCGTTCTGCGTGGGGCCCCAGGAAGCACCCTGGGTGCAGAAAGCTTTCAGACACTTCCGGGAGCTGCCTACAGTGGTTCGCATGGATGGAGCCCCTACAACGACCTGGTGGGATGGGGTTTCACCTTGTTCTCCAAGACCTCCTCACCCAATGCACGCCAACTCCAACCTTCAGATTGGCCCATCCCCGCCCCCCCCACCTCCAAAATAACACAGGGTAGCGGGGGGAGAGCTGTGGGACGGACGGCTGATGCCTGTCCCAGATGGGCCCCGAGACGGTGGGAAGCCTGGTTACCTGACGTGCCCGCAGAGAAGTTCTTCAGCGAGGGCCTCTGGACCACGGTGTAGGACTCGCCCACCACAAACACCTTATACAGGACAGCATTGTGGTTGATGAAGTTCTGGACCACACAGGGCGGCTGGATGGCACTCAGGCCCTCCTGGTTGAACACGATGGCCATCTGTGGAGATAGGGGCCAAGGGCTCTGTCAGAGTCTACCACCTACTCGGTCTTAGACACAGGGGCATGTCACCGGTCCAGAGCTCTGCCACCAAGGACCATCCCGGTGAACCGAGGACTCTCTGGGAAGAATCTCAAGCCAGGGCGAATGGAGTGAGAGTTGAGAACACCTGGGAATCAATTCACTCCTACTGTGGCGGTCTGGAAACCCTGCACCATCAGGCTCTCCCTGTACGGCTGAGTGGACAGTGTACTGCACAACTCCACTTTTCACACTGTAATCCAGGGAATGGCACCTGAATTGTATATTACTCAATCTTTAGGACCTCCTTAGAGGTTCCTCCACAAAGATCCAGGCGAGGCAGGAAGAGGAAGGCAATGGATGGGGAGTTGGGAGGCTCTGAATCAAAATCTGTATGTCAACAAGGGCTGCCTCTGGTTGAGCACTCAGGACAGCCCAGCCCTGTTCTGACTGCTTTGTGTGAGTCACCCAGTGCTGTCCTGACAATACACCTCTAAGGGGGGTACTGTTCTCATGCACCTTTTACAGATGAGGAAACTGGGGCCCTAAGAAACTCAGTGGCTTGTTGGAAAGCGAGAGAGCCCAGGATGGGACCGGGTCTGCCCAGCATGCAGCCTTGGCCTCTGACACCCGGAGGAAGCTACACGGATGCTTGAGGGATGAGAATATGCTGCTCCCAGTCCCTGACTCTCTGGGGACAAAGGTGCCGCCCTGGAAGGATCTGGTAGGCCACTAAAGTAGGGAGAGCAGAGGGGTAGCTGGAGAAAACTCTGCGTTGGCTGTCAGCTGCCAGGGCTGGGGCCACAGCTAATCCCTCGCAGCCCACAGGCCCCAGTAAGGAGCCACCAGATGCCCAGGACTCAGGGCAGGAATGACGGAGCCTGGACAGCTGGCCGCCTGCACTGGCTGCCGCCCCTCAAGTCCATGGTCCCTGAGCACCACCCCAACATTCCTGGGGCTTAGCTGCATGGGGCAAAAGTAGAGATCCTGGTCACATGGGGAAATGGAACGTGCACGCACTGTGTGTGTGTGTGTGTGTGTGTGTGTGTGTGCGTGTGTGTGTGTATGTGTATGAGCACGCGTATGCACGCACATGCACGCGCCCCAGGGGCTGAAGAAGGGAAAGAACGCAGGGGGCTCTGGTGGGGAACCTGCTGCATGCTCCGTCTTCCCCACTTGTAAACCAGCAGCAGTAACTACCATGGGACAGCCTCAGGGGCGCTCTGGCTTCCGGCTCAGTGGTTTAACAGAACGGGGAAGCGGTGGTAATTCCACTCTGAGCAAATCAGTGTGCTTGCAGTGGCTTAAAAACAAAACAAAACAGACAGCTCTGTGAATATACAATGAAAAGAGAGTAGTTTGCCCAAACCAGTTGGTTTTCATTGAGCTTGGGGCTGGGGGACTCAGAGGCAGGGCTCAGGGAGACCACAGTACAGGCAAGGACCCTAATCAGAAAGCCTTACTTTAAAGTGGTTTAAAGCCAACCACATCCACAGAGCTGTCCCCTCTATCCTCGCTGCACTCATCCCCAGGCACCCTTGGAACAGGTGAGGAGCCTTGACCCCCAACCTCCTGACTTATGCTGTGGGGGTGTCCGATCCGAGGGGGCAGCCCTCTGACAGGAAATCCTCCCGAGAGGTGGGTGGCCCATGGCACACACAAACTCCCCGAGGGCCTCCAGATTTCAATCCCGAAGGCCCCGTTCCCAGCCCCCCACTCAGGAGAAGAGGAGCCCCCCCCCCCCCGAAGCAGCCCACCGTGGGTCGGGGGAGATGGGGAGGCACATGTGTACATTTTGGAGCCAGACTCCGACAGCTAGACTAACAGAGGAGGGCCTCCCTGGAACGCACTGACCCCATATGTGAGGGTTGAGACTCCTGCCACGGAGAGGGCTCACTTGGATCTGGATCCCCCATCATTCTGCAGTGACCTGGAGGTCACTCTGTACCTGGTTCCCTCCCAGTGCACCGAAGGCGCTCCACTCCATGCCAGGCCCCACGGCAGCACGTGCCGCAAGCCTGTCCTCCACAGCCCCCCTCAGAAGTGCAGACAGACACTCAGAGAGGCTGGGGATTGGCTTAACATCACACAGCTGGCCATGCACAGAGCCAGATCTGCTTCCCGGTCTACATGATTCCAGAACTCTCTCAGGAAGAGAGAAGCGGTTCCTCTCCTGCCAACTGAGCTCTTCTGCATCAGCGCGGTCCAACCACGCTAAGAGTGACTACGGCCACCCTTCCATTCAGAAAACCACAAGGCGCTGACCCACAGAGGGACTGGGTGCTAGTGAAAGGGGCAGGTGGAACGTTGGCTTGTGCCAGCGACGAGAACGTGGGCTCTGGCAACAGGACGCTGGCTGCTCTCGAGCATTCCTGCTCCCTCCCAGCACTTGGCAGGAAGGACATCGCTGGCCTGGAGCCCAGGCAGGCCCAGACAGAGATGGCTCCGTAACCCCAGCAGACAGCTGGCCTTTGCAGCAGGCCATGACTTCCAGCCACTGCCCCCACATGCCTGCCCCGAGAAGAGGCACAGCCCCGCCCCGCAGCTCCCATCACACCGCCATCTGCTCACGGACGTCTCCCCACAAACGCCGGCTGGGGATAAAGAGCGCCCCAGAAATCTATAGGGCACTGCCATGGAACTGCCCATGTTTTGTCCTAAGGTTTTGAGATGACGTCTGACTGGGAGATGGCCCAGGGGCAGGCTTTCCCCACAGGGCCCTCCGGAGGGGTGATGTGTCTGCTGCCCAGAGCACCCTCCCAAGTGCCTAACAGGGAGGCCCCAAGGCCGGGCTGTGTCCCTGAGGGTACAAAAAACACATGGCAGAGGTGAGAGCAGGGGGGAAGCCCTGAGAGCATGTCCTGGCTGTGGTTCCGAGGACAGCAAGGGCAACCAAGACCCGACAGAGTCCTTGCCCGGCCATCTGGTCCTCTTACCCCAGCAGGCTGCCTCTGCTTACGGTTCGGCACATCTCACTGGGGCTGCGTGTCTCGGGGACTTGGTCTCTACCACTGTGGCAGAACACCCATCTTGTGCATTCTTGCCCTGGCACTGAGGGGAGCTGGGAACGTGCACGGGGCATAAAGAAGAACTGAGAAGGTGGAGGAATCACCACACACTAGCATGTGGGGTGCCCGTGCCTCTCCCGCCCTCCTATAGCCAGGCCAGCTGGTCCGTGGGGGCGGTGAGAGCCTCCCTCCAGTTCGCAGCGCGCAAAGGGGCCCAGGGCAGTGCCTGGCACAGGGCGGGCGCCCAGGCAGTGAGTGACACAAGCCAGAGGTCGCGGACCTGGACAGGTCAAATTGGAGATCCACAAGGGCTCAGAGGTGGCAGGCAGACCCCGGCACACACCTTCCATCCCTGGGGACAGGACAGGCACGGGGCAGAAGCTGGTGACAATGTATGAAGCCACAGCAGGACAAGGAGCAACAGGGGTGCGGGCTCCCAGAGAGACACTGTGAGCTGGAAAGACGTGCAGGGCGGGGGTGGGGAGGGAGAAATGGGGGCAGAGGGCAGTCAAAGCTCCACTTACCTCATGAGAGTTGGTGCCATGCGCCACTCTGGTTTTGCAAACTATGGAGCAGGGAGAGAAAAGCAGAGAGAAACCAGTGAGGTGATTTCTCCACGAAGCCTGACCTGGCAGACACGGGGTGAAATTCTCGAAACTCCTGCAGCCCGTGGGGATAAGGGGCAGAGGGAGCTGGGGAGACACGCCGGCTCACGGCGGCCGGCATCTGCACTCAGGGTGGCCCGGACAGCCCATGCCGCCGGCGCACCCCTCTCCCCTGTGCAGGCAGGACGTGGGGCTCAGCCGTCCCTGGCAGCCAAGGCCCTCGTGCATCCCGGGGAGCCAAGGACAGCCCCCACCCAGCCCACGGCCCGCCGAGCCTGCCCAGGGGTGCCCAGGGCAGGGGTTGGGGGGGGACACGCACTGAAGGGGAACGCCAGGCCGTTCTGCTCCAGGAGTCTCATGGTGTCATCTCCACTCAGGCTCGTGAGCTCCATGAAGGGTGGCGAGCAGATCCTGTCATCTGCGGACAGAGAAGCAGCCCACGTCAGCAGGCCACCCACGAGCCCTCCGGCCCACTCCCTGTGACAGACCCACCTCCCTGGGGCCACCCTCGGCCTCCCCATTCTCCCGAGCGGACACCCCCAACTCCGCAGCGAGGGCACACACATGCGCGTGCGCAGACACACACGCGCTGACAGTAACGGCGGCATGTTCTTTAATTACGTTTTCTATTAACATTTCCGTAATTACAAAACCAACATACGGTGAGTATCAAACCCGAACACCAAAGAAAAGAACCACGTGTACGCAGAGACGGGGCTGTTTCCGGGGCCAAGCCTTCACGAGCACAGGACTTCACAAGCGGATGCTGTTCGGCTGCCCAAACCCTCACTCAATGAACTATGACCGTTTTCTGGTTTGGTGAAGGCTTCTCCTACCACACGCCTTCTGGGCTCCGCGGTGACCGCAGGAGGGCCACCGCGGGCTTGGCTCCCACCGTGTCTGGCGCTGTGCTATGGGCTGTGTGTGCACCTGCTCTCAGATCTGCAGAACAACCCTGGGAGGAGCCAGACGAGGCATGTGCTCCAGGCTACACGAGCATTCCTGGGCCTGGGGACACAGGGCCCTCGCCCTCTGGCTACCTTCAGGAACATGTCTCATCAGCCACTGCCTGCTGGGTCTGGCCTGCCGACTCCGTCCTTCCTTCCCTCCCTCTCTCTCAAGCGCGCTCACGGCCTTCTCCAGCCTCCTCCAGACACACTCCAGCCCCGGCCCTGCCCCGTTGCCAACACCTTCTCACACCCTGGCTTCCCTGAGTCCCCGGTCTCATGGGGCGCCCAGCCAGTGGGTTCTCAGCACGACTGGTTTTTCTGAAAAGCTCTGGGAGCGGAGTCTGCTCTGGTTATCGGGATGCTCCTGGCGCCACGCACCGAGTTAGGGCCAAACAGGTGATTTGTGGAATAACCAATGTATTCTGATGCTCCCTACCGCTGGCTAGCTCACACTGCTGGTCTGTTATCACTGCTCCTTGTTTTGGCCCCTTCTCAGATCAGACAGCTCCTCAGGAGGGGGGACTGCCCTGTACTTCTGAGCACAGGGGCCAGGAAAGGCCGAGGGTTAGTGAGGGGCCCTCCTCCCCTAAACCTTGGAAAACAAACCCGAAGTAAAGAAGCGCTGTGGCTTGTCTCCAGGAACTTTGAGCTACTTGGCAGGCCTGAAGGTCAGTACATTAAACAAGGTAAGATCCAGCCTCGTACAGCTCATAAAAACGAATGCCAAGAATTACGCAGGGCATGTTGAAAATGTTTCTCTCTCTCCCCCCACCCACCTGTAAAATCCAAACTCCATAATACAGACGCAGAAGGGCTGGCAGACGTCGGGGCTGCGGGGCTTCTGGGGGACCACGGGAGGGTGGTCGGGGGCGGTGTCTGCTGAGCCCCAGCAGACGGTGCTGCTGACCCTCCAACAGAGCCTTCATTCAATCCTCAAACTGCCGTGCCAGCGCCTCTGTGGACAGAGGCCCCAACAGGCCCTGACTGGCAGTCTGCCCCAAGTCATAGGGATGCCCAAGTCACAGGGATGGTCAACGACAGAGGCAGAATGAGGAGCCAGGTTGAAGGGCAGGCCAGGAAAAGAGAAGTCAGGGAAATCGGGGTGCGGAGGCGGGGCTGCGTGCCGGCTCTCAGCGGTAGCCACTACCAACCCAAGGCCCCATTTCCACACCCCCAGCTGGACTCGGGGCCCGGGTGGGGAAGGTTGCTGCTGCGGACGTATGGCCCCGACAGAACATGACAGTCAACGCCTGGACACACTGGAGGCTTCAGCAGCAGACCGGCGCTCACCCGGGCCTCATCTGCGGCCCATCCCCTCCCACAGCAAGACTCAGAGCCCAGTGGAGCCCAGCGAGCCACCTCCGGTGAGAACTTCCAGACTCCCCACCAGTGGACTTGTCAGAACACGGGCATCAGCCCGGCCTTAGATTATCAGCCTTGCACTGCCCCCAGTGGTGTCCCCTCCCACCCTAGCCCACCCACACTTTCACACGTCACCCATCACAGCCGAGTGCTCTTTACACCTGCCAGACAACACCATCTACAGAGCAACTCAAGGCCCCTCATAAGAACCCCATGAGAAAGCAGTCACTCCCAGTTTACACACCAAGTCCCCCGCCCAGAGTTACACGCTGAGTATGTGGTGTACCTGGAGAGGCTCAGACCCTGGCATCTGGCTCCCTGGGAGATAAAGGGCCCACTTCGTATTAACACGATAAAGGACAACGCTTTTACTGAGAGGATCATCTCCACAGACTCAGAAAAAGCATCTGATGAATCCAGTGCCCTTCAGAATAAAAGTGCGCCACAAACCAGGAATACAAGGAAATTTCTTCAATCTGATGAAATAGCATCCATGGAAACATTGTGCAGTGGGGTGAAAGACTGGACGCCTTCCCCCGAGATCAGAACAAGATAAGGATGTCTGTTCTTGCCACTCATACTCAACACCGCCCTGAAGGTCCTAGCCAGGGTCACTAGGAGGGAGAATGAAATAAAAAGCATTCAGACTGGAAAGAGGAAGTTAAACTGCCTCCATATGCAGGGACATGGTCCTGTACACAGAAAATCCCAAGGAATCCACACACACAAAAACCCAAAACCTATTAAGATGAGTAAGTTCAGTAAGACTGCAAAAGAGAAGATCAATACACACACACACACACACACACAAAATCGTATCTCTATATGCTAGCCATGATAATTTGAATATGAAATTAAGAAAATAATTCTACTTACAGTAGCCTTAAAAAAATAAAAACACAAGAAGTAAATTTAACAAAGACCTAAATGTTGAAAACTACAAAAGATTGCTGAAACACATTCAAGAAGATCTCAATAGACAGAAAGACACCCCGTGCTCACGAATAAGACAATACAGGTGGCAACACTCCGACGCTGATCTTTAGAGTCAAGGCAATCCCCATAAAATCCCGGCTTTCTTCTAGTGGGAACTGACAAGTTAATCCTTGAATTCATATAAAACTGCAAGGACCCAGGATGGCCAATCTTGAAATACCGAAAAAGAACACAGTTGGAAGACTCACACTTCCCAGTGTGAGTCATCATGCAGTACCGTAGTGGTACAAGAACAGACGTACAGCTCAGTGGGTTAGAATGGAGGGACCAGAAACAAACCCATCCATCTGGGGTCAACTGAGTGTCCCCTAGGGTCCCAATACAATTTAAGGGGGGAATGACAGTCTTTTCAACAAATGGTTATAGGAAAACTGGATATCCACATGTGAAAGAATGAAGCTGGAACCCTACCTCTCACCATACACAAGAATTGATTCAAAATGGACTGTGATCTAATTATAAGATCTAAAATAGTAAAATGCTTAGAGGAGAACACAGGTGTAAATCCTCATGACCTCGTGTCAGATAATGGTTTCTTAGACACTAAAAGCATAAACTACCAAACTAAAAATAGATAAATCTGATATCATCAAAATTAAAAACTTCTGTGCTTCAGAGGACACTGTTGCCAAGAAAGTGAAAAGACAACCCACAGAATGGGGGGGAAATATTTGCAAATCATACATCTGATAAGGGTTTAGTATCCAAAACATATAAAAAACTATTAACAAATAATAAAAAGACAAACCGAATTTAAAAATGGGCAAACAATTTGGGTTTTCTGTGGTTTTGTATTAAAGATTTTATTTAATTACTTGTCAGAGAGAGACAAGAGAGAGAGCGAGCCTGAGTGCACAAAAGGGGAGCAGCAGGCAGAGGGAGAAGCAGGCTCCCTGCCGATGCAGGACTCGATCTCAGGACCCTGGGATTATGACCTGAGCTGAAAGCAGATGCTTAACCTGACTGGGCCACCCAGGCATCCCTGGGCAAAGGATTTGAATAGACAGTTCTCAAAGTAAGACCTACAAATGGCCCAAGTGCATGTGAAAAGATGCTCAACGTCACTAGCCACCAGGAAAAAGTGTATCAGAACCACAATGAGATATTATTTCGTATCTACTGAGGATGGCTATGAGCAAAAGGACACAAAGTAACAAGTGCGGACACTGCTGGCGAGAAAGTAAAAGGGTGCCCTGCTGTGGGAAACAGTCTGGCAGCTCCTCAAACAGTTAAACGTAGAGTTACAGACATGATAATTCCCCTCCTCGTTCTACAACCAAAGGAATGGAAACGTATGTTCACACAAAAACCTGCCCAGGACTGTCCGTGGCAGCATCATTCATAAGAGCCGAAAAGGGGCAACAATCCAAGTGTCCGTCCCCTGACGAGTGGATAAATGAAATGTGATGTGCCCGTTCAACAGAGCATCCTTCAGCCAGAAAAAGGAAAAACATATGCTACAAAGTGACCTTGAAAACAGCATGCTGAGCGAAGCGAAGGAAGCCAGTCACAAACGCCGTATGACTTCACTTATACGAAATATCCAAAATTGGCAAATCCAGAGAAACAGAAAGGAGACTGGTTACCAGGGGCAGGGGCATGGGCATGGGGGGACAGGGTGGGGGTGGGCATGGGGGACGGGACGGACTACAGATGGGTACATTTCTTTATGGGGTGATGAAAATGTTCTGGACTTAGTGGTGTTGGCTGTGCAATTTTGGGAATATAGTCAAAGCTACTGAACTGTATGTGTACTTCAAAAAGGTAGATTTTATGGCATGTGGATTATATCAATTTTTTAAAAAGAAAGAGAAAAAATCCCCCAGGAGCAGCAACAGCTGTCTTCCCCCAAGTACTGGCTCTCTGCGGGCACTGGGCTGAGCAAATGCTCCCTGTATGGCGTCTCCTTCAAGCCTGCAGAGTCCTGTCCCTCGCCCCACGCCCGGCCAAGGTGCAGGAGGACGGGGACAAGGCGAGTGCTTCCCCCCAGAGATGCTCGGGGTCCCGGTGAGAAGCAGAGATTAGACATTTCCAGTGAATGGACCACATCTAGCATTAGGCCAGACATCCCCACCTTTCTGAAATCCCAGGCTTTGGTTATGAGGCCGGG